TCTCACTCACTTCAGTTGTAAAGGATGGAGGAGAAATTCCCCACTGCTGAATGGGGAAACAAAGAACTCCTTACTCTCCAATCTGCTTCTCAGCCAGCAAAGTGACTTGCCACCAGTTTTGTATTTTAATAAATATGAAATTGAAAAAAAATAACTCTGACTTGCTTGTTCTTGTTGACTCATACTCATTTCAATAATAAAATACGCCTGGAAAATAATTATTTACTAATTAAAATTATGTACTGTGTTAATAATACAAGTGTCTATTTACTTAATGTGTGTATTATCACAGTTATCTGAAAGCAAAAGGCAGATTAGATTGCTTCTGGCACTAGCCTGAGGGGAATGGCAAAACAGCCTGGCTTCACTGCCTACCTTCATCAATCAGAGCCCCAGAAAGCCGAGCGGGCTGCTCCAGTGCTACTGCCGCTGAAGGAACGAGGGACAGTGCTGCAGAATGAGTAGCAGGCTCACTCTCCAAAGCTTCTGTTCCTCACCATCCTCACCCTAATTTCAAATAAATCTTTTGCTTCTTACTAAAGTTTCCCATGAAAAGGTGCAATAATAGTCTCCTTCCAAGAGTCACCTCAGCCCTGTCTTTCCAGCAACACAAGTAGATTGGCACAGGCTCTTCGTCTTCCACAGCGTTCACAATGTGCCTACATGGCTCAGGAACCTTGAGCAGGCTTCAGTAAAGCACTTTGACAGCCTAATCTAGGATTTCTACAGCACTACCATGGAGCATCATTTGTTGACACTAATGAATAAGAACATTCAGAATCATCTAGACTGCGGATCCAAGAAACAGATGTTTTCCAACGCCTTCCCTGGCATATGAATCAGTACTCACCATACGTAACTGAGAGCACGGTCCGCATTCACAACAAATGTGATTACCTTAAGTAGAGTATCAAACATCGTAAAACAGCGTCAACAGAGAACATCTTCATCTGTCGACATCTGAGCAGTAGTTCTTAAGGATAAACCAGAAACAATACGGATTAGCTAGACTGGGGGAACGACTCAAGGAGATAGGGTCCTACTACATAAATGAGAATCTGGGAAAAACAAGTCTGAAACTGTACATGGCATAAAAAAGTGGCGGTAAGACTGAGACAAAACCTTACTTTCTGACAGATCACTGAAAACAAGAGACATCAAAAAAACTGGTATAGCAGCACGTTCCAGACATATTTTGCATTTCACCTTTGAACTCAGTATGCATAATGAAAAGCACAGGAGCAGAAATACGTACCCAAAGGTAAGCAAGGAAGCAAACAGAAGAACTTCTCTTAGTTTATAAAAAACGTAACACCATAAAAGCATGAGTGCCTGTACTGAACAAGATCAAAGATCCGCCTAGCCCAGCATCCTACCTCTGACAGTGGCCAACGCTCTTTTAAAGAACGAAGAACACAACAGGCAAATGCATAAATCAAGAGGCTTCTATGCTCTAACCAATACTGACAAAACGGATGACAGAAGGTTATACCGGCCAACGGGTATTAGCCTGAGGAAATGATGTTTTACTGTTTTTCTAATTATGTTGTCAATTTTTTCTCTAACAAACTAACTGATTTCTAATTAAGATATCCAGAACTTGATATTGGAGATTTGTGCATCAGGGAAGGACGGTTCCCACAAGCTGCCTCTTGTTCTTGAGAAAACACAGAGCTAGGAATAAGTGGTGGTCTAGTTCCCACAATAAGTAAGGTAACTGCAGACCCAAAGAAGTGAAATGGCAGGAAGTGGGGAACTGTTGCAGCAGAAGAAAACACTTGAAATTATTAAATCTCAAAGAACAAATCCCCAGTCCAGTATGAGCTAAACTTGTATGCTAAAATTAATGTTGTTTGACATCCAAAGCCTACAGCGATTGCCTTTCTACACATATAATAGGTTCTGATAGCATAGGTGGATGTGAAAATGGAAATTATAAAAAAAGTTTCAAGATTGTAAGAAATACTCTAATGTTACAAAACACACTAGGAGAAAAGAAGTAGTCACACAAACATATAGGCAGCTCATCAACTGCATACAGAGACTTAATCACCTAAACGGTAGTGCACGGATGAACCTCTGCACTTGTATGGATCAGTTTGTAGTTACTATACCAGATAAATTAACAACAGTTAACTTAAATGAAAGTGACTGAATATTCTGTTGGCATTTTACGCATATATTTAGGAAAAAACTCATTGGCAAAATGTGAAATTCCAACCCAGAAAAATGGCTCTATCTTACCAATGGTTAAAGTGTTCCCTAAATATTACAGAAGAAATTCTACCCCAATTTGTGTTCTTGATGTTTCCACAGGCTCATGCATACTCTGTTTTTTCTACCCAGCAATGATACGCAATTCTTCACCGCCGCTGAAAACTGCTGGAGCTTTATACTGTTGCTCAATACAACAGTACAGAGAATTTACTCAAGTCCATTTAAGTCAGGAGGAATATTGGAAAACACTGTCAATTGGATATTTCAGAGCTTTCTTATCTTCAGTATTTGTCATTTATAAGATGTCATCATCTTTAGTATGTTATTCTGGAAACTTACTTAGAGGTAATGAGCAGGAAATTTGGCATTGCTTTCAACATCATTCTCCATAATTATTTCTAAATCATAGTACAAAAATATTTTTCCACTCCATGATTTATGCAGCTTGTGCTCTTGTGCACTCTCTGATGACTCAAAATTTCAACAGGCCCTCACAACATTATTTTCAACTTTCTATGTGCAGCTGGAGCTGGTGGGCCATACATTCCAGGACTATCTGCAGCATCATATTAAGAACTATTAAGTCAAGTGATGTGCGAAATCAGCATATACAAATTAAGTTTTTTTATGTCTATGCCAAGTCCTATGCTTCAGGACTGAAGTAGATTTAATTTGCAATAGCTGAGGACAAGCTGTCATTCCTGTTTTGTGTCTTGTTCCAGTGACAACTACTTCTTTGATTTAATCACAAGTAACTTTTCCTTATTTTCAAAGTCTTTTACCCTCTCATAAAGTGTCAGTCTCTGTTTCTCATTGGCCCATACTTTAAAGTAAATAACTTTGTACTTCTTACAATGTTTATATAGCACCTCATACACCACCATTCTGCTGTTTATTAAGAATTTCTGGGTATTACGGTACTTGCTTTGCTTGAGCTTTCCTGGGTGACCAAGTCTAAACATGCTCTAAGTAGCAGAATATATGTTTTCAACTTTCAGAGCTCTTAACGTTACTGAGATGGTTTACAATTTGTGAGCTAGAGGTCCTGCTGGAGCACAGGGCCTCATGAAGAGACAAGACCACTGCAGGAGACCAGGAGATTGTCCAAAGAACATGTCAAAGGCAATGATTTGTGATTAAGCACTTAAGAGCAGGATGCTATGTGAGCACAAAAACAGTGAAAAAAAAAACCCCACAACATTAAACAGGATAAGCCTTGCTCTGGTACATCAATTGTTTGCATATAGGATAAAGTGCTTAGGCTTAACTGGAGCTAGGTAGAAGAACCAAGACTAAAATGGAATGGTATGTTTCCGAAAGCATGCAAGGTAAACAATATGCAAACAGTATGAACTAGGTAACTGAAGAGGAATTTGGGGGATTTTTGAGGGGAAAAAAAATTCCCTCAAAAAAATCCATCCAGAGACAGATCATATTGCACCCTGATAACAAGCAGTGTGGCATGGTAGAGATACGGGTGATAGAGCTGTAATTAAGGAAAAATGGCACCATTTCTTTTTAGCTTAGTTGGCGCAAACCACTAAATAGATCTAAATAGATCCTCATTCTTTGAAGAGTGGTTTGCTTTAGGTGACATAAAGGTTCAGCTTAAATGATCTGAATAATCTACTTTTAACAGAAAAAAACCGATGAGAAGTCAAAACCCAAATCTTAACTAAATCAGTTTCTATTCACATGCTCAGGCAAGGCTGTGAGATTTTCTCATGCATGCTAACACTTGTCTAAGTGCTTAACTCTCGTGCATTGCTGTATTTTCAAACGGGTTTGCCTTGGACACAGCACGGTTCCTACCTTCCCTCCTTTAAGGGCCTTTTCTGCATTTGTCTTGCACACAACACCTGATGGGACTTGGCCAGCAGCCTCTTTCTTCAGTGCTCGGGCAGGACAGTGCCCACACAGTCCCTGAGTCCCATTCCCAGTACATTACCTTTACTGAGAGGGGGTTTGGGGAGGGTTTTTGAAGTGGTTTGGTTTTTTTTTTTTTTTTTTCTTTTATTAAAGACCTTTCCTGGT